ACTGTGCTGCAGTGATGCAATCGGGCACTCTTCCTGGGCCACCTTCGCGATCTGGAGATACACGTCACGCAACTTATGCAATTTGCCGAGTTGCTGCTCATGATCCGCGCCATCTTCCATCCTACAACGAATAACCAGAAATGAAAGACAAATAATGATCGCTTAAAACCCAAGCTGAATGAATTGTGCTGTTGAAATTAAGCAACTAGTCCTGCTCTGATCAGATCAAATGCAGTATGAGCTGAATTGGATGATCCTTTATTAATCGCTAAACCGAATTGTCCAAACTTTCCAAAATGATTTTTTCTGCCTAGAAATCGTCAATTGCTAGAAAAATCAAGATTCCTCAAAGAAAAGGTAACGAACATTGCGAATATCCAGGCACCGGCGAGTAAATACAGAAAAATGAAGAGATATAAACCAGCATGCGGTAAAGCGATTTTCGCAAACTGAAAACTACCCTATTTTAAAAATAAAAGCAAAGGATTTTGCATAAAAAGTCAATGGCGAAGCGCACCAGGCGTACCCATGCGTTCATGCGTTTTTGCAGTATTTCTTGTTGTAGTAAGATCGTTCGGAATACCAGTAGCTAGAATTTGTGTCATAGCGCTCCCCGATTTTTGGGAAAGTTAATTGTTCAACCAAATGGTACTTGGACAAGGAAAATCCCCATAAAATTTCAGCCTCCCTGCTTTCCTAGTCTCCAAGTTGGCGATTTTTTCGTCAAAACTTTTACGTGCTCGTCGCGCAGCTCAGACTTGCTTAAAGGCTGGTATCGCAGTCCTGGAGTCGCACTTTGCCGGCACACTGACAAAATTTTGAAACTGGAACTTGCTTGGCTGCCAATTTGAAATACCCGGACAGAGCACACATACACAAACACACACACATGCGTACGAACATACGCACACACGCACAGCGGGGTCGTCACAACATGCGTTTTTGCATATATGCAAATGCGAAAACGCATATTGCGACGACGCAAGTGTGCATGTGTGGGCACGCGTCTGCCCAGATATTTCAACTCGGCACCCAAGCATGCTCCGGCACCAAAATTTCGGCGATAGGTCCCCCGGCTAAGTGCCATCTCAGGGCCGTGGCACCAACCCTTACGCAAGTCTGGGCCCTGCGTGTGAGGGGGTGAAAGTTTAGGGGGGAAAATCGCCAACTCGGGAACCGGAAAAGCTAGAAAGCTGAAATTTTGATGTTATGTCCCTCGTATACATAGAACTCAAAGATTTCAAATTCAGTCCCCAGGTGTCGTGGTTCTCGCGCGTAGCCCAGCGAGGCTTCCTGGCACGAAAATCACTAACTCGCGAACCAGGAAAGCTGGGGAGTTGAAATTTCCAGGGGATGTCCCCAGCACAAGTACAACTTAAAATTATCAAACTCAGTCCCTAAGTGTGTGTGGTACTCACGTACGGCCCCGCGAAAATTTTTGGTGGAAAAATGGCTAAGTCGGGGGTCAGAAGAGCTGAAATTTCCAGCGAATGTTCCCAGCACAAATATAACTTACAATTATCAAAGTCTGCCTTCAGGCGTGTGTGGTTGTTACGTACAACCCCGTGAAAGTTTTTGGCAGGGAAGTTGCTAACTCAAGAACCAGAAAATTTGGAAAGCTGAATTTTCAATGTTCCCTGT